AGCAGGTGAACAGTAACAAACTCTAGAAGATTTCCTAACAATTCTTAAGATGCACAGACCACCATCCCACTGTAAAACATACCTTCCCTGCCCATGAGGAAAGAATAAAAGCAAAGGTGATTAATGCTGAGATACACCCAGCCCTGACGGGGAACCTTTCCCTTCCAGTAACTGCAGGAGTAGTAGTTCACTAATTTCTCTTCTTCCGGCATCCCAAACAGCTTGTGAAATTTCACTATGGCTTCCTTAAATTTTTCTGTATCGTCATCCTCCTTGATGCCATTGATTTTGTTGTACTCAGCGATGATGCCCTAGTAGGAAGTGAAAGAAGTACATAGCGTGTTAGTTGCCGTAGGGTATCAGATATCCTTATTACCATTGCTGTCTGGGCCAGAGGCCACAACAGTCACTGCAATGTCAAGAAAGTCTTTTAATTACCCCTTATTCTTCTACTCATTCTTTTACTTATATAGTTATTTACTTTATTCAAGGCTATCCTGATGACCTTGCTCCCTACCATGCCTATGTCAAAAGCAACCAAACACCAACCACTTGCCAGAATCCTGTTTTAAATTAACCAAACTAATTCAAATACTGCTAACAACTCTGTGAAGCACCTAGAAGTTGTAAAATTTTCCCCTTCCATGTAAATATGCTCCCTGGAGACAGGGACAGGATTTCACCAGAAAATTTTCTTCTGAAAAAGAAGGAAAAAAAAGTCAAAGGAAAAATGACTCTGTTATTTATTAGGGAAAATATCAAACAACTTTTATGACCCCTCTTAGTGGATCTTGAGCAAAAGAGAAGAGCAAGAGGAAAATAAAGAAATATCTCAGATTAACTGGCAGGATGGAAAAATCATTCACACTTTCAGGTGCAGAATACCTTCATCAAGTTTGAAGTGGCAGCATTCTGGTGAAAAGCTGCTTTTTGATGCCTCAAAGATTACATTTCCTTCTGTTCTATATGGAAGTTCTAGTCTACTTAGTATGGATAAAGTACTTTTTACCAGGACAGCTACTATATCTCCTATAAGGAGAAAAAAAAAAATCTAGTAAACCAACAAAAACCCCCACAACCAAAAACCAAGCAAACAAAAAATAATCAACCAACTAGCAACTCCTAACACCTCTGTGAAGTGTAAGTGCTAACACTACAGGATTTAATTGCACAGAAGAGGGTAAGGAGACATTATAAGTGCATTAAAAAAAATATTAGAGCTTTGCACTGGAAAAGCAGTTACATAGAAAACTGTCAAAATTTAAGAAAGAAGCAACAGTGCAGTTAATTTTAGAACATATAATGTTTGAAGCCCTGCCTATATATTTTTAAATAGATATTATTTCTTTTTTAATGACACTGCTGCTAGTTATGTGCGCTAAACCTAGTTTCCCCAGGTTTTACACACGTTGCTACCTAGAATCTGGTTTTCCTTCAAAAAGGCAAAGCAGCCTGGGGAGTACCAGTTCGAATTTGTTTAGAATTCCCATCAGTTTTCCTTCCACAGTCACATTTGTCATTAACAACATTTATAA